TATATATATATATATATATATATCAAATCTTAATTATAATGCAATTATTAATAAAGAAACTCAGATGATTAATAATAGCCATGTAAATGCAAGTGTTTCTATTATTTCAGTAGGTGTGGAGATATTTTGCATCAAGGATAGAGGTGACACAAGTGTTAAACCTAAGATTAGGTAATCCTGGCAACCTAAGTTTAGCAAGCCAATAGTTTGTGATACTTTAATCAATTCTTTTTAGGTTTTGTTTGATAGCACTCTTGTTACGAGGTGGACACGTGCTTCTCCTCAATATCAAAAGCATTTTTAAACTCTTTATAATCCAATAATAATAATTATTGACACCATTACCAAAATTACAAATTAATTACTGACCTAACTTGCGGGGACCATCTATAACTTGGATGATATTGCAAGTCATTTTCCTCCTTTTTCAAGGGTATACATTTTTTTATAAACCGGTCCTTCTAATTTGAATCAATCTTCAAAAAGTACCCTTACTTGCATCATTTCTAAAACTTTTACTAATGAGATGCTGGCATTTTTATCAAATTTACTATTTTTTAGTTCCAGTTGACAATTTTATGCTATTTTATTCTATAAATCTCAACCGTTGATATGAAATTGTCGTGAGTAGTCGTTATTAGTGGTAATAGATTAGGTTTTAGCTAGTGGTGGGTCGACACTCCATAACGTCAGGACACTATATATTTTTTTAAAAAAAATTAACGATTGAGACTACACGCTCTTCTGGATAGATCTTTTAATAAAAAAAGACAGAATCCATTACAGGTGATGGTATGTAGATACAACTTTCGTACATAACATGGGGGACTAATTGATATAAAAGGGCAACGTGTCTGTGTTTTAGAGGATCAAGATTTAGTTTACCCAATATGGTTCACAATAATATAGGAAGTAATCCAGCAGGTAGAGAAGTGTTAAATTTCACGTATCATGATGCTAGCACTAGTACTGCTGCTTCTCAAGAACATCATGGCCATGTGATCAGAGAACAAGATCTACTGCTGCCAATAGCTAATGTAGGCCGTATCATGAAGCAAATCCTCCCACCAAATGCAAAGATCTCTAAAGAAGCTAAAGAAACCATGCAAGAATGTGTTTCAGAGTTCATTAGCTTTGTGACAGGAGAAGCTTCGGATCATTGTCGCAAAGAGAAGAGAAAGACTGTCAACGGAGACGATGTTAGTTGGGCGATGATGAATCTAGGGTTTGATGATTATGCAGAACCATTAAAGAGGTATTTGCATAAGATTAGGGAGCTCGATGGTGAAAGGGCCAACCAAAAAGGGGCTAGCAGCAGTAGTAATGAAGAGAAAGATCATCTTCGTCATGCTCATCAAGAAACTTCATCTAATTACAGATCTACAGGTAATCAAGTTCCTCGAAAAGCTACTGTTTCCTCATCACCGAATCTTTTCAAATTCAGCGTTATCGATAAACGAAATAGATTTTAGGGTTCATGCTGCTACTTTTATGGTTGGAAAATTTAGGCGTTTTTAGATGGATTTAAATACTTGTATGATAGATGATATGACACAAAATTACGGTTTTCTCAACTGCGAATAAGCGAACAAAGAAACCGAAGAGAAAGTACACATGGATTTGGAAGCTTTAGTTGATCTTCAGTTTGCTATGTCTTTCTATATCAATTTACATCAACAGTTAGAAAATGGCCCCCCAAAAAAGATAATAACAAAATTCCATCTCATGGTGTGCCTTAATTTGTGGATCCTGGGGTTTTTGTACCATATAATTGCTAGTGTATTCTATGAACATATTTGAGTTTCTATCAACATGATGTGATAATTAAGTTTCGAAGTTTAACTAGCTTTTGGATGAATTTCATCAGATTTACAATATTTTAGGCTAATGTTTCCATGCTCATTCATGCGTTTTCTTTAATGGACTGCATCAATAAATGACGTGCTTCAATCATGTTTGAACTCTATATAGACATGGACTTTAGTCTTTAGGGTTTCGCGCCCAAATCCCTCGTTACCATAGAATTTTGAACCCATGAACTCCAAATGCTACCAAATGAATAACATAGATGCATAGTTTAACTTTCGTCACCAATTCAACTTTATTCGTTCTGCTTGATTGTTTTCTACTGTCATATGCTGCTTGATTACATAATTACAAAAACCGTAATCTTAGAAGAACATGGGACTTTCGACCCAAAATAGTATATATCTTTTTGGTATATAAACTTGCTCTTCATAGAAAAAAATCCAATTGAGATACAATAATATCTTTTAAAGACCCGAGAAAACCATATCAATATATAAAACTTTTGTTGTCTGCTTATTAACTTATTATTAGGGATTCATTAAACAACTTCCAGTGGAAAATATAAACATAAGATACATGTATTAGCTAGCATTTTGAAAAACAATATATCATTTAGACAGCGCCAATCAATTTTGGTGGTAGGATATAGTTTATAGGTACATAGTACTGTAAATGTCTTTTGGAGTTAGGGTTCTTGTGAAACCTAGATGGGAATTGGACACACTTTATTTATCTCTGTCATCAAAATCCCCATCTGCATGCATAAACACTTTTCCCCATTGAACTTTAGTTTCTTTGAAACGCGTTTTAAATTATTTAGCTAGACCTCCTTTCCAGAAAACAAGATATACAAATTTAAAAATAAGTTATTTATTGGACTTGAAACATTAACATACATATATTAGGCCACTATGAAACCACCATCAAGATGGTCTAACGGTAAGTTTCAGGTTGCATTCGAACAAGCTTCAACCATGGGTTGACCCGTCATTTAATTTCCACAAGCTTCGACTTTGAAGTATGGTCTGTCATTCAAAACAAAAAAGGTCATTAGGAATGAGGTTAAGTTAGAACCAAATTTGTGAGCAAACCAGAAATCAACGACTAGATTAAAGATGGTTATTAAGCGAATATATATAAAAGTTACTTCCCCTACGATTCACAAGCTTTAGATGAATTTCATTACAAAGCAAGATTGTGTTAACTGGTTTGCTGATATATTTTGGGTCTATTTAAAACCCATTCGTATCATTTTACCAACATTTAGAATCTGTTAATCCAAGGTCTATATATCTCCAAGGTCTATATCTCTCCTTTTCATATGAACCAACAAATATTTTTACCTATAAGTGGCAACCTCATGTATTTATAAAGGAGTCCACTTTGGTAGTGTTGAGAATATGTTTCTGAAACTCAATTTATCTGTAAACATACATAAATACATGCATGCATGCATAAATACAAGCATACACATATACACACGACTCAATAAACATTCTGACAACATTCTGACAGAATGAGAATAATAATAAAAATTCTATAATAACCTTATAGACGATTTAGTTAGTAAAAATGTGTGATAATGACAATAATTATGTAAGATTGAACGTATTCATATTATCAAACAATATATTTTATTTGTCATTTTTCACATAATAGTACTGTCCATACGTACGCACAATAGATGTAAATCCACATTTAAACCTAGTTCTCTCTCTCTCTCTCTCTCTCTCTCTCTCTAT